TTTTAATTATAAATATTCTTCTTTGCCTCAAAACAAAATTTTTTTTTAAATATTGATTTCAGAGAGGAAAGAGGGAGAGATCAATGATGAGAGAGAATCACTGATCAGCTGCCTCCTGCATGCCCCCCACTGGGGATTGAGCCCGCAATCCCGGCATGTGCCCTTGACTGGAATTGAACCTGGGACTCTTCAGTCTGCAGTTCGACACTCTATCCACTGAGCCAAACCGGCTAGGGCTCAAAAATTTTTTTATACTATATTCTTTTTTTATTTTAAATCCTCACTCGAGGATATGTTTATTGATTGAGAGAGAGAGAGAGAGAAATGTCAATGTGAGAGGGAAACCAATCTGTTGCGTCCTGTACTTGCCCCAATCTGGAGATTGAACCTGCAGCCTTTTGGTGTACAGGACAGTACTCCAACCAACTGAGCCCCACCCAGCTACATATACTAGATTCTATTTTGTCTGCGCTTAGTATAACCACTCCAGATATCTTTTGGTACTATTTGCATGGTATATCTTTTCCCATTCTTTTACTTTCAACCTATTTTGCCTTTGAATCTAAAGTGTTGTATGCCCTAACCGGTTTGGCTCAGTGGATAGAGCGGCGGCCTGTGGACTGAATGGTCCCAGGTTCGATTCCGGTCAAGGGCATGTACCTTGGTTGCGGGCACATCCCCAGTAGGGAGTGTGCAGAAGGCAGCTGATCGATGTTTCTCTCTCGATGTTTCTAACTCTCTATCCCTCTTCCTTCCTCTCTGTAAAAAATCAATAAAATATATAAAAAAAATAAAGTGTTGTAGATGGCATATAGTTGGACCATGCTTTTTAAAATCTATTCTGCTGATGTCTGCCTTTTAACTGGTTTGTTCATTCCATGTATATTCAATGTAATTACGCATAAGGTAGGATTACACCTGCCATTTTATATTTGTCTTATGTGTATTATGTCTCTTTTTGTTCCTCATTTCTTTATTGCTACCTTCTTTTGTGTTAGATCTTTTAAAATATATTTTTATTGATTTCAGAGGGGAAGAGAGAGGAAGAGAAAGATAGAAACATCGATGAGAGAGAATCATGGATCGGCTGCCTCCTGCATGCCCCCTACTGGGGATCAAGCCCACAACCCGGGCATGTGTCCTGACTGGAGTCATGTACTCTGACCGAGAATTGAACCGTGATCTGGTCAGTGCCCAACCACTGAGCCACGCCAGCTGGGTTAGATATTTTTAGTGTGCTATTTTAATTCTCTTGTTTCTTTTACTTCTTTTTACATTTAGTTTTTAATGTTTGAACCTTGTAATTAAAATTAACATCTCAATTAAAACAGTGTAGATTGAATTAATATCAACTTAATTGCAGTGGTATACAAACATGTTTAATAAAACTTCATCTTTTCCCTTTTCTTGGTGTTGCTTTTATACAAATTACATTTTTTATATTGTATATCCAGTAACACACTTACGATGATTGCTTTATGCAGTTTCTTTAAATTTGTGTGCGTATTAGTTTCCTGTTGCTGCTAGTGTAGGAAGGAGTTAACATAGCAGGCCTCACTGCTTATCGTTAGAAAGAACTGCTTATGTCCACCCGTGGCTGACATCTGAGAACTTGAATTTCAGAAGGGTTCCCACCTGCCTAACTAATAAGAATGGCTTACTATGCCTAAGTTGCTTACAAACAATATAGTTTATGCTGAACACCTGCTTTTATTCTTGGGAATCGGAAATTTTGGTATGTGCTAGGTAGATCATGTGTCTGTATGATCAGCCCTAACATTGTTGAATCCTGTGAGTCCCTCTAGCAATTCATTGAAACTGGGGTGGCCTTTTAAAACTTTATTGTTGAAAGTTTTACATATGTCCCCTTTTTTCCCCCATCGACCCCCTCCAAACCACCCCTGCCCTCACCGCTCCACTCTCTGTGTCCATGGGTTATACATATATGAATACAAGGTCTTTGGTTGATCCCCCCCCCCCCCCCACGTTCTCTCTGAGATGCTTCCGTGTCTCTGGATCCACTCCGTTCATCAGTTTATTTTGTTCATTAGATTCCACATATGAGTGAGATCATGTGATACTTGTCTTTCTCTGACTGACTTATTTCACTTAGCATAACACTCTCCAGGTCCCTCCATGCTGTCTCAAAGGGTAAGAGATTCTTCTTTTTTACTGCTGCATAGTAGTTCATGGTGTAAATGTACCACAGCTTCTTTATTCACTCTTCTACTGATGGACACTTGGACTGTTTCCAGATTTTAGCTATTGTAAATTGTGCTGCTGTAAACACAGGGGTGCATACATTCTTTCTGATTGGTGTTTCGGGTTTCTTAGGGTACATTCCTAGAAGTGGGATCACTGGGTCAAATGGCTGTTCCACATTTAATTTTTTGAGGAAACTCCATACTGTTTTCCATAATGGCTGCACCAGTCTGCATTCCTACCGGCAGTGCACTAGGGTTCCCTTTCCTCCACATCCTCTCCAGCACTTATCATTTATTGATTTGTTGATGGTAGGAAACTGGGGTGGTCTTAAATACTCCCTACATACTGCTATAACAGAATCCCACAAATTTGGTGGCTTAAAACAACTTCAGTTTATTATCTTACAGTTTTGGAAGTAAAAATCTGTAATTAGTTTCTCTGGGCTAAAATCAAAGTGTCAGCATTGCTGTGTTCCTTCTGAAGGTTCTAGAGGAGAATCCATTTTCTTGCCTTTTCCACTTTCTAGAAGCTTCCTGCATCCATCCACTCCATGGAATTATCACCACCACCCCACCACCCCATTCCATGTGCAAAGCTAACAATGACTAGTCACGCCTTTCTTATGCAGCATCACTGACACTCACTTTGCTGCTTTTCCTGTCATTTTTAAGGACCACTGTGGTTATGTGGAGTCCAACCAAATAATCTTCCCATTTAAAGTTTCTTAATTTATCATATTTTAAAAATTCCCGTTTGTCATGTAAAGTGATTATATGCAGAAATTCTAGGAATTGGTGCTTGGAAATCTTTAGGGTGGATCAGTTTTGTACTTACCACAGTCAGGAGAAATGAAGAGTTAGAAACAAAAGGTATGCTGATTTTGCCTTTTATCTTTACTTATATAATTATCCTTACTGGTGTTCTTTTTGCCTGTGGATTGGATTTTCTGCCTAGTGTCCTTGCATTACAGCCTGAAGGGCTTCTTTTATATTTCTTGTAAGGCAAGTCTGGTTGTAATGAATTCTCTGTGCTTGTTTATCTTGGAATGTCTTAATATTGGCTTCAGTTTTGCAGGATGGTGTTGCTGTATACAGAATTCTTGTTTCACAGTCTTTTTCTTTAGCGCTTCAAATGTCATTTTCTTGCCTTCTGGTCTCCTAGGTTACCAGTGAGAAATCAGTTGAGTATCTCTTGTACATGATGAGTTTCTTCTCTGTTGCTGCTCTTAAGATTCTTTGTCTTTCAACATTGTGATTATGACATTTCTAGGTGTGAATCACTTCGATTTTTTTTCCTACTTGGAGTTTGTTGAGTTTTTGGGATGTACACATTGTTTTCATAAAATTTGGAGGTTTTGGCTCTTAAAATACTATATCTGCCCCCTTCTTTTCCTCCTCTCCTTCTGGGATTCCTATTATGCATTTGTTGGCATGCTTGATGGTTTTAGTTATTGTACTTTCTAACTCCAAAATTTCTATCTGGTTCCTTTTGTATAATTTTTGTTTCTTTGTTGATATTCTGTTTGCTGAGAAATCATTCTCAGACATCCTTAGCTCCTTAGACATGGCTTCCTTAGTTCTTTGAACATATTTAAAATAGTTGATTTAATGTCTTTTGTTTTGTTAGTCTAACTCTAACTTAGGTTTCCTAAGGGTCATTTTCTGTTGATGTCTTTTTTTCCTGTATATGGAACCATGCTGTCCAATTTGTTCCTTAGCTTTTCTTTTAAAGAACTTTATTTTTCTTAACTATTCGTTTGCCCACAACTGTTTTCCCCTTTCTCAGACAGTTAAAATATTGTACTAATTGCCTAATTGATTTTAACAAGCACCCTAAGCTTTTTGCATTGAAAGAGCTCTGAGTCAGGTTAAATAGACAGCCTTTCAAGTGGTGCTCACCATCCAACCACTAGAGAGGTCACATAATGACAATTGGGGGAGAATCGGACTTTGAAGGCACTCCTCCCCATTCTGTCCTCTCCTGTGGCTTACAGGCGGACTGAGGGCTGTCGGTGTACATTGCTACTTTGGCGCTGGAGTAGAGGGCAGGGAGATAGGAGTAGGGAGGGTCAGAACACCACAAGGTGGTCTCTTGCATGCTCGCTCTGAAGGAGGGAGGGAGGGAGAGAGAGAGCGAGAGAGAGAGGAGAGAGAGATTTGTTGTTCCATTTATTTATTTGTTCACTGATTGTTTCTTGTATGTGTCCTGACCAGGGACCAAACCCTCAACCTTGGTGCCTCAGAACGATGCTCCAACACACTGAGCTATCCAGCCAGCGCCATCTCTCTCTTTTTATTAAGATACTTGATTGCTGCCTAGATTGCTGCAAGCCTTTGGTTAATTTCAGAGTTCTGAAACATCCTGACAATGTTTTCTTTTACACAAGAGAGAATTTTTGTAGGTCTTTACTGTGTTTGTTGATGTCCTCGCTTTTTGGTTCTCTTCGTCTCTAAGCATGACCCATGTTACTCATCTTCATGCCTGCCATTGTCCTGTAGGAATTTGAGTTTATTAGATTATCTCTTTAAGACAATTTTTGATTCTCAAAAATTCTGGGTTTTGTTTTTAGCTTAAAAAGCCAGGAGCCTGAAAAACACTGAGTTAAACTTAATTTAAAATAATAATGATTTTTTGTTCTCAATAATTGAGTGTCTAGGAAAAATAAAGGACCTTGTTCTCAGCAAAATGTATAAAGTATTAATATTGTATGTTTCTCATTAGTGGTTTTAATACTGGTATTTTTGTGTATGTGTGTCTGCCTTTTCTGTTTCTTATTATTAATGTTTGTCTTTTACCTCCTAAGGCAATAAAGAATTCTGATGGGAGAACCATTTCCCTAATTTTCAGATTGTTGAGCTGGTTGTCATGATGGGTAAGTTCAAACTAAAGAATTTTTTGTCTACAATTGAAGGCTAAAATACGGGAGAAATTTTTTTTTTTTTTCTGTATTCATGATAAACTTGTAGCCACTATGGAAAACGATATGGAGGTTTCTCTCTGTAACCATGAGTGCAGTGCCATCGTGTGGTCCAAAATCTCCAGTTTTGTCAGCTTTAAATTGGATATCCTTTTTCTGAACTCCTATTAACTTTTCATTTTGGTTGGTCATACTTGCAATCTGGGCTGTGTGTTAATCAAATTGATTTCTACCTTCTCAAATAATACTGTACTATAGAAAACAACAAAACAAAGAACAGCCATTGCTTAAGAACATATACCAAAGTAGTCATAGAAAAACATGAATATTTTAAAGTATGATTCACAGATATTTGAATTTTTTATTGAGGATATTCTCCTATAATTATTTTAAGTATAATGAATAAGCATATAAGGTATCTAATTAAACATGCCTAATAAAATATTTTACTTGAAATGATTTCCCAAATATATTCTGGTTTTGTGCTTAACTAAATGTCCTTTCAACATGTGTCAGAAACACACTGCTTCGTCTGTGTGACTATCGGTCAACCGTGGGGCCCTCTGGCTATCCTTACTGCCTATTGATCAACTCATGATCTTTATGACAGTTACAGCCTGTCTTATCTGTCTAGTACTGATCACCACCACAGAGGTTCTTGAGGAAAACAGTCTAAGAATTGTTAGAAAAGTGCTCGTGGTGTATTTCTGCTCACACTTTGCTTGATCTTTTGTGGATTTGTTAGCTTACATCTTGTCAGCTTCCTCAAAGTAAGTTGCCTATCAGGTATTTATCTACCATGTGATACTTCTTCAAGCCAGAAAAAGAAGGAACTCAATTAAGTTGCTCTTTATTAGTATGTCATCTCTCTAAGACAGCGGTTCTCAACCTGTGGGTCGCAACCCCTTTGGGGGTCGAACGACCCTTTCACAGGGGTCGCCTAAGACCATCGCAAAACACATATATAATTACATATTGTTTTTGTGATTAATCACTATGCTTTAATTATGTTCAATTTGTAACAATGAAAATACATCCTGCAGATCAGATATTTACATTACAATTCATAACAGTAGCAAAATTACAGTTATGAAGTAGCAACGAAAATAATATTATGGTTTGGGGTCACCACAACATGAGGAACTGTATTAAAGGGTCACGGCATTAGGAAGGTTGAGAACCACTGCTCTAAGAAGTTACTTATATTCAAATAGCCCTCTTTATTTTTGTACACGTATGATAGAAAACAGTACTTTTTAAAGAACAAAACCAGGAAATTAGTGTATGTAAGTGTGATAAGAGATTTAAGCCAAAGCCTCCCCAGTCACTTGTTTATTTTGGTATTATGATATGAAACATGTAAAAATACCTAAATTCAAGTGTTTAAGTTTTTTTCTAATGAAGAAAGTAATTAAAACATAGATATGTTTAAGTATTAGAATTCCCCTCACCCAGTACAGAATTAAGGATGTTACCTTTCTCAAGAAGGTTATATCATATAATTTCATTTCAGTTGAGATCATTCTCAGCTAATATTTTTCTAAGGAAAGATTTATTTTTATCAATAAATGACATAGTCTGACTTGGACCTATGGACAGTACACATGTTGTGATTATATTATACCCATGGGCTCAGTTACTCTTGGGCTAAGCTAACATTTTGATGAGATTTTATTTTACAAAGGTTACTTATAAAATTTTCTCTAAACCTGGAATTTATTAATAAAACCCTTGGAGCCATTAATTTTCATTTTAATGTGCAAATATTTTCACTACAAAACAATATATTGAATGTTACAAAAATTAACGTATTAGAGAAGTCAGGTATTTGTGTGTTTGAAAGACGATGAAGCCATTGAATTGGCACATTCATTTAAACGATTTTTCATTACAAGATAAAGCATGTTTTATTATTACTATTTTGGAACATAAATTATTACTCACCAAAATGGTTACTTTTTTAAAAATATATTTGTATTGATTTCAGAGAGAAAGGGAGAGGGAGGGAGAGATAGAAACATCAATGATGAAAGAGAATCATAGATTGGCTGCCTCTTGCATGCTCCCTAATAGGAATTGAGCCCGCAACACAGGCATGTGCCCTGACTGGGAATCCAACTGTGACCTCCTGGTTCACAGGTCAACGCTCAACCACTGAGCCACACTGGCCGGGCAAAAATGGTTACATTTTAAAATGTAAGCTGTAAAGTTTCTCAATTCCTTTTTTTTTTTTTTTAACCAATTGTTGGTTATTATTAGTGGAATTGATTTACTAGTGAAAATCAATCATATTGTCCCTGAAGTTTTCCAGAGTATATAATTGGCATTACTAGGAGGCTCATGCTCATAGTCTTATGAAGAAATCTTTGATCTGTTTGGAAAAAATTAAAAATTTATGGTTCATGATTCTTTCACTCAGTTTTATGGGTTTAGTGTTTTTTTCCCTTGGGAATGGATTTTTCTTGTATTGTTACCTTTTGAATTGTTCCAGGTTGAGATCATTAAAGAGTTTTTAAATGTTTGTAGTCTTATTGAACCTTATGGAGAAGAAGTTCAAGAAAACACTTCATAAAATCTGTAGGCAAAGCTTTTGTTGTTTCTGACTTGAAGTCTGATGAAAGAGAAAAACTCTAAAAGGAATTCTGTACTTTGAACAGAAATGCTAAGTAATGATGGTATTTATAGAAAGTTATCCCCCCCCCCCCCCCCCCCGCCACTTGTTTTATTTAAGATTTTAGATGTCTTGTGATGTTTTGTTTAGGTGTAATAGAAAAGAACTTGTCATAATAAAGCTGTTTCGACCCATATTCTAGGATGTTACATCATTAGAAGAATCGGAATGACTTTATTTTGCCTGTAAAAATCTCATGTACGGACGCCCAGTATGATGCTAGTGCTCATGGCTGTGCTATTCTACCATTACTGCTCTTCAGTTTCTAAATGGAAATTTTATTTCACCAAAATAACAAGCATAGGCATTGAAAATGTTCTAGATTTTTGCATTAAATTTTATTATAAATTTTGTGTTTGGTGTCAGTAGTAAATACATATTGAAATTACAAGTCTGACTATGTTATTTTAAAAATACCTAGATGATCAGCAAGCTTTGAACTCAATCATGCAAGATTTGGCTGTTCTTCATAAGGCCAGTCGACCAGCATTATCCTTACAAGAAAACAGAAAAACAAAATCTTTATCACCAAAAAAACAGGTATTTGTTTCAATAATATTTTAATAAATTTATATTGTTCTGTGAATTATTTTTCTTGAATATCTTGATCTTATAGAGGTTTTGCTTAAAGTATTTAGCTTTTATACTTTTGAATCAAATATTTTGTTAAACATTTTTTATAAGTGTGTGTTTAAAAAATGATAGAATTACATTTAATGTGGTAACTGCTCTCTGAAGTTGTTTCATCCATTCTTAAAGCACATAAGATAAGCAATTTTTTAATTTAAAGTCATCTATTCTGTATATTTACAAATGAGGATCATTTTGATTCTTTTTGTTAATTCTCAACAGAGAATATTTTTTTCATTGCTTTTCAGAGAGTGGAAGGGAGGGAGAAAGGAGCGGGAGAGAGAGAGATTGATGTGAGAGAGACACATCCCCAGTTGCCTTTCGCATGTGCCCTGACCAGGGGGTGGGGATCGAACCCACAACCCAGCTATGTGCCCTTGACCAGGAATCGAATCCAAAACCCTTCGGTGCTGGGGCCAGGGCTCTAACCATTTAGCAACACCAGGCAGGGCCATTTTGATTCTTATAGATAAAATTTGTTTGGGATGTTGCCCTAAAAAATAAAAATACAGTATGCTAAATTTCTCTCTAACAGGATTAGCAAGTGTCTCATGCCCATGATGCCACATTAACAGATCCTGTTGATCTTCCCTCTTGACCCCAAATTCAGCAACATAATTCTCAACCTGGCTTTTTGGCAGACCCTATCAATTTATTGGAGTTGATCCTGAAATGAAACCTTCCCCGTCAGCTCTGGTTTTTATTATTATTATTATTATTATTATTATTATTATTAGATTTTTAGACAGTAGAGGAAGGGCGTGGGATAGAGGGATAGAAACATTTATGAGAGAGGAACATCATCGATTGACTGCCTCCTGCATGGCCCCTCCTGGGGATTGAGCCTGCAAACGAGGTACATGCCCTTGACCAGAATCGAACCTAGGGCCCTTTAGTCTGCAGGCCAATGCTCTATCCACTGAGCCAAACCAGCTAGGGCCCCTCTGCTCTGTTTTAAATGCATGACTAAGGAAAAAAAAAAAAAGTTTTATTTGATTTCTGAAATGATTTATCATTTCATTACAGAACGATGTCCGAGTCAAATTTGAGCATAGAGGAGAAAAAAGGTAAGGAAAGAAACATTACAATTCAGATTATCAACTTAATTAAATGCGTGTTCTAGTTAAAGCCATTAAAGGTTCTTTCTATATTTTAATGAAGGCTCGTGGCTTACAAATTGAGAATGGAATAGTCCTTGATAACGTGTAACATGTATTTAAACTTAAGATAGAAACTATCAAAATTCAGGCTAAACAATAGAAAGATAAATGTTTTTACTTTGCAATATTCGGAAGTAAATAAGATCATTACATAATGCAGCCTTTGAATATTATCATTTTCTTTTATTTTTACTTATCATAATCATATTATCTCCTTATAAATCTCCTTATCATGTTATACTCTACAGAATTATGTATGTGGACTTAACATTCACAATTTTAAAAATATATATATTTTTTATTGACTTCAGAGAGAAAGGGAGAGGGACAGAGAGAGAGAGAGAGAAACATCAATGATGAGAGAGTACCATTGATCGCCTGCCTCCTGCACACCCCACCCTGGAGATCTAGCCTGCAACCCGATCATATGCCCAAACTGGGAATCGAACCGTGACCTCTTGGTTCATAGGTCGACACTCAACCACTGAGCCACGCCAGCTGGCAACATTCACAATTTTGATTATTCTCAACATACGACATGTACTTAAATAGTAACATTGAGGGAAATGAGTTGGAATGGTGGCTGTGAATTATTTAGGAGTGGGGTAAGCCTAGTCTTCTTCCGGGTCTGTATCTTCTTACAGTAGCAGAGGTGGGTGGTGATGGTTAACAACAGAATTATTAACAAGACTATTTGGAGTTGGAGAATATGGGATTTCATGTTTGTTATTCGTGTCTCATTAATTTAATGAAAGATCTATTCATTTTAAAGACTTTAAAAAGGCTCATAAATCATATAACCTGAGATGTAAAATGTTTTACACAGAGATATGGTTTTTAAAAATGCAATATGCTAGATATGCTCTATAAGTGTCGTCCATTCTGCTTTTTCTACTTACAGTTCTTTTATGGGTATTTTCAGTGTGTTTTTTTCCTTCGTGGGGCACTATTTATTGAGTGCTTGTTGTCTGCTGGGCCCTGAGGGACCAGTCAGTGAGCAGATGGTCCCTGCCTGACAGAGCTTACAGGCTAGTAGAGTGGTTTCCAGGCTTAGACGCATGTTCCCGGGAGCAGCACAGGCTAATCCATTGCGACATAGGAAGAAATACTAGAATTAATTTTTTTTAATTCCTTAAAAATATTTATATTTAAATGTTGAGTTGATAAGGGTACGAGAAATCAAAATTTGAATCCCCAAAGAATGACTTTATTCTTTTTAACAGTTTTCTTCCATTTCATAGTATGGATATCACATAGTTAAGTTTAATTATTTTCTTCAGCGAACATTTTACATTTCCCTTTAATACTCATATAACAGTTTCAGTGCAAATTACAAACTGCAGAGCTTTGTGAGATTTCCTGTTTGTAATTTGTATTAGAATAGAACAGACTTCAGAGTTTTTGAACTTTGTGTTGAGAATTAGTGCACTTGATCCAAAACAAGCCATTGTGGTGCTCATGTACAGTGGGCGTTTATATCTTTACTTAATTTCAGTTTATCCGAAAGGTAACTGTTGAGGCATGCTAACTCTTCCTCAGAAAATAAGATGTTTTAAAATTCCATTTACACAGAATCCTTCAGTTCCCCCGACCAGTTAGACTGGAACATCTGAGGTCGAAAGCTAAAACTGCCTTTGGACAGTCCATGGAGCTCCATTATACCAATAACGAGGTAAATGGAAAGTTTCACTTTAAGTTGTTCTTGTTTTGGAAAGTAGTGTATTCATTTCAGAGATTGTTTTAGGACTGTTGTGTTTTTATTCAGGGATTGATGCAGATATGGTATGTTAGAGGAATGATAGAGCACAAATTTGTAAATTTAATTAAAATGGATTTTTCCATTGTCAAAAATATTAAAAGGTACTACTGT